TGACTTTCTTTCCCTGACTGAAGAAGTAGTTTGTGTTTGCCCTTCCCTCAGTAAAACACAGCCTAATAATTTGAATTGAATCTCTGCGCTGCTACAGTTTCCCAACAGCACTGGTGAGATGAAGACAGTTCCTGCTTTGGCTAGGGAGCAGAAAACATGCGAGCCCCAGCTGCGAACCAATGATACGCATGTGGCAGAAGACATGGAAGTGGCTCATGTCGTTTCACATTAAAGCAGGATCAATGTTCATATTTCTGACAGGCAAGAAAAGAAGCTTTGGCCAGAACCAGTTCATTTACGAAATAGTTGTCATTTGTTTGTGTAACTGAGTAAAACGGCTGCACACACTACAACTGCAAGTAATGGAAAGTATAGGAATCTTGTTAATGTGGCACCAAGTCAGAATGGCATAGACACTTTCTTCAGGATCTGCAGGAGCCCCAGGACCTGTTTGTTGGCGACTCCTCCGATTTCTCCAACCGAGCTACATAACCGGCTGCGCACGCATCCTGCCAAGAGCATTTGGACACACCACTGAATTATGGTGCACCTTAGATTGATACTGCAGGCATCCTCGGCTGACTTTGGCAGACTTTGTAGGACCTCACTGTCCAAACAGCCTTTGGAAATAATGTAAAAAAATGGACACCCGCTGTATGTGATGCCTCTGCCTCCTGCAGCCATCCCAGCTTGTGATGAGCTGCAGTGAGATGGGGACACCTCTGCCCCTCTGAGAGCAAGGTTAGTCTAGCTCCTTGTCTCTGATGGACACGTTATTTTCATAGCAGTCAGGCATAACTCGGAGGGCAGGGAGGATTTCAGGATCTACAGCTCTCCCATAGGAGAAAAATACCATTTAAGCTCCAACTGATCAGATCTCCAGTGGCTCTGCAGCAGTTGAGATACCCATGGGGTGGCTCTAATTGCTAAAGGAGCAAATCAACTCCCTCACTGCTTTCACCATCCAGCCTATTACAGCTCCATGCAAGGTGTTACAAGATTACTGCTGGAAACAGAAAAGCCAGCACACTAGCGACTCAGTCATTTAATACTCTTCCCTCTTGACGAGTAGATGGCATCTCGCCAAGGAGAAGAAAGAAAGATCACAGAAGAAAATTGTGCACATGTGAAGTAAAAAGTAAACTGCTCTTTCCAGCTTTATATACGTGAAAGCAGCAGCAGAGGAGTTCACCCACTCTCATCGCTGCCAGGCAATTCCGAGCAGTTTGAGTCAGGTCCCGGGCCTAATTAACCAAGCGGTACGGCATAGTTGGTCACAGCATTTGCACACATGGTGGTCATTAACTAGATCAAGTGACTGGTTAAATGAACACATTTGGGTTAGAGAAATACAGCCATCAACTGATGTACGTTTTAAGCAACCGCAATACGGAACAGCAGAGCCTCAGGAGTTCCAGAGCAATGACCCGTAACCTCGTTTCTGGTGGGGAGGCTGGGGCTGCTTTGCAGTTTAAATAAGAAACAGCATATCAGTGAGAGTTTCTGTTCCTTGCTCTTAGAAGATCAGTGGTGAAGAAAAACAATTTGCCCTTTAGTTCAGCTTCAGCTTAAACTGTAACCTTGGAGGCACAGCGTTGTCAGATGTCCTTGCTTCACTCCTCTGTGTGTGCTTCCTTCGTGCTCGTTCCAGGATGAGCACCAAAACGGTTCGCAGCAAAGACTGGAGCAGCGCATTAAACATGGACGACCAGGAATGCTGCTGAAAAGAGCAAAGATCTCCTAAGGTCACAGCATGGTGTCCTTTGCCTTGTAAGCGTGATCCCACGGTGTTATCCTGCTCAGTGTGCTTTGTGCCCTTGCAGCATTTAATATCTAGGCAACACTTAGTCTGGGTGTTCAGCCTCAGCAGGAGGCCCTACGAAAAGCTTTTTTGGACCTCCTCGTCTCTATCTGCTGCTCTGCAGCCCTTTCTGGCTAGCCATCTGCTGCAGCAACTGGGGCGGGCAGCCACCAGCAGAGGTGGTACAGGCAGCTCTCGGCAGCCGGCAGCACTCGCACTTTATCTGTGCCCAGCCTCTTGACGTGCCTGTATCCCAACACCAAACATCACTGCTTTCTAGGTGGATGGCCAAACTAGGGCGCTTTAAAGCAGAGCATGTCCTAGGACAATAGCTTGGAGAAAGGTTCAGGATGCCACATTAGCATCCACAAACGCTCAAGACTGCAAGGTTGGTGGAGGGAGGACACGGACTGTGAGGAGAGAAGTATGGAGCGTGAAAATGCAGCAGAAGACAACCTATAGCAAGCTGTCAGTAACCGTGCTACTTCACATGCGCCCTGCAAAGGGGTGGTAGCCTTTGAACGGGCAATGGGGTGCTGCCCCTGCTTGCTGCATGATGCACTGCTCCCTGAACCTGTTGGGATGCAACCACCTGCAACGCATTATCCCCAGCAACTGCCCCACGGGTCCAGCCTGTCCAGAGCACTCGTTGCATGGGAAGCGTGCCTCTGTCTTGTACCCAGACATAGAGAAGGTGCTAAGGGACTTGCATGAAAGAGTCCTGCAGACTCTCCAGAGTCAGGGTGCAGCCCCTTCTCTCACTGCTTCCAGTTTAACTGCCCTAACCTCATCCCTCTTCCTAAGCTTGCTCAGTTGTTGAACAGGGAGTTGTGTCTGTCTTGTCTTGAAGCGCCAGTCATTCTCCAGCCAGGTCTCTGCCAGCCGTGGAAGAGGTTGTACACCTCCTGGCAATTTCGGCAGGCCTGGGGTACCCGGAGCTGCCACTTCTGCTGGATTTTTTTTTGTTCCTGGCTCATGGACTAGGGACTCTGAACCATGTTGTGTAGCTGTGCCAGCTCTGGTGCTGCATTTTCACAGTAGCTGTATTTTTCAGGCATTTTTTCTATAACTCTTCTAAAAATTCAGCATTTTTTCTGCTCCACATCACCCTGGGATCAAAGCTTTTTTCCTGCAGCTGTGTGATATACAACTATGTTACACACCTTTGATGACCAGCCACCTTTCAGCCTCTCAGATGCACCATCCATTCTTGTGCTGCAGTAACTCTGGCAGAATAAAGAGCTCATTTTCTTGGTTAAGAGCATAAGAAGAGTGGATATCCACATTAAAGACCCACTTCTTCCAGGAAACTGCTCCCTGAAGCAGGCAGTGGAAGAACCATGGTGCAAAGCCCCTACAGCGGTGGCAGCAGTAGCCCTGTCAGGGGCTGCATGCTCACCCCTTTGGCTGTTGCATCAGCCCCCAGAGAACACCAGCACGTGGCTGTGACCTTGCAGGAGTGCATCATGGCCCCTCACATGGCAGGCCATCACTTCCTTGCACGTGTCCTGGGAAAGCATTTTCCCAGGTGGAGAAAAGGACTTTGTGAGGAAACACTTTTTCCGTCCTTTGGAGGACACTGGTGAGCAGGTAGCTCTCACCTGCAGCCCACCCTTTCTTCCCACAATGCTCATCTCCCTGTTTGCATCCATCCAGAGACTCATCTCCCTTCTCTTCTGGGCACCATCTCACCCTCTCCATACTCTCTGCTCCCAGGTCATGACTTGACACAAGCCATACTAAGAAACACTTAGCTGATGCACAGCAACCAGGCTTTGGCGACCCTGGGCATCCCTACACATGGGTCACACCTACTCTCCTGAGGGGCTGTTTGATGGTCCAGCTGGGCTGGCTGGTGGTCAGCTCACACTAGACAGAGTTTGTTGCAGCCCCTGAGATGCTGCATGGCACCCTAACACTAGAAACAACAGTGCTTTCACAGAGCTCTTCCCACAGCCACCTTTCCTAATGTGGATCTGCCTTTCAAATGCCACAATAAGAGAAAAGGACTCTAAAAAGTGAAGGCGCCTCGTGCTGGGTCCGCTTGAAATGGATGTGTTGTGTGCAAACAGGGTGATTTATTTGGCTCTACCCCAAACAAAGAGTTCACTGTGACTTCTGACAACCTTTCAGCAAGGTCTCAAAGTCCAAAGAAGAGGCTGTATGAAAAGTCATGGGAAGTTGAGCTCCAAGGACAGAGACCGCTTTCCAAGCTTATGTTGCTGCTCCTTCATACATAGCTGCTCTGAATGAGCAAAATCCATAGAAAAGATGAAATTTGAGGATCTCTTGCTGAAAGTTGGTGGCTTTGGCAGATTCCAGATTTTGATTTTGTTTATCCTCTGCCTCACAAGAACAAACCTTCCCATGCATTTCCTGCTGCACAATTTTCTTGCTGCTACCCCCTCTCATCACTGTGCAATTCCACAGCAAGAGGCATTTGTGAACCTCACCATGGAGGAAGTTCTGCTCATCAGCATCCCCCGGGAGCCCGACGGCACTTTCAGGTCCTGTGAGATGTTCTCGCACCCTCAGTTTCACCTGTTGCTCAATTCCTCTCTGCAACCAGAAAACAACTCCATCATCCAGCACTGCCAGCACGGATGGGTCTACGACCACTCGCAGTTCACCTCCACCATCTCCACCCAGGTAAAGCCTGGCCTACGATCTAGCCAAAAATGAAATTAGCTCAGTGTTTTGAGGAGCAAATGGAGAATTGCTTGTTGGGTGCACAGAGTCAGAGGGGAATCTTTACATTTTAACCAGTGGAAATTACTTATTTAGAGAAGATTTCTTGGGATGGGGAAGCTCTCAGAAGCTCAGAGTTAGAAGCCAACATTTACTAATAGTATTAGTATTATTATTAGGACCATCTTGCTTAGATTGCTAGTTGGAAGTCAACATTTCTTGTTGTAAACATCTTAATTTCTCCAGGTGATTGAGAGATTGCAAGGGTGGGGGGAAGACACACATACAGGATTTTCTCTGCTTGGGCCACACGGCATTCGCACATGATTCCACTCTATCAGTATTTCATATGAGCCCATGACTTCTTTCTTGATTTTCCAAACACTTGGTAACTTCTGTTCCCTTGGCCACCCCTCCTCACTGATCTCTGGCTTCCCCGTCTTCTCCCGAAGATCATGCTGCCTCTCTTCTCTTACCACCAGTGTCTCTTGCTGTCAAGCCAAACGTGCTTTCCCAGGGCCTCCTGCTGAGATGCAGAATGCTGGCCAGTCATAACCTTGAGCCTGCCCAAGGTTCCTGTCCATCAAACATTAACCACCTGCCTTTGCTAAGGCTAACAGTGATACCTCTGGGTGTTAATGCTTTACCTCCCTTGAAAAGTGTCCGAAAGCACAAGAGGTCTTAGGGAGGGGGACAATTTGGTCAGACAAAAAGGGCATGGCTGGGTTTGAAATTATAGGAGCAGGGTCAAGTCTTAACCTAGAGCTGGTGCCTCCTCCCCAACATTCTACCACCCCTAGTTTTGGCAGGCACGGAGGTGAGGGTCAGATGTGTGTCAGGTATGTACTTGATTTCTGCACTGTTTCAGGGAGAAAGGTGTAGAGCATCCTTGGGGGAAAAGGCAGAGGAGGTGTTCTGTAGCATGGATGCTGAGCATGGAGCCTTGTGATGCTGCACCCATGGTGCAGTGGCCTCAGGACACGTTCAAGGGACTGAGACTTTCTCTGGAGTCTTTTGCTCTTGCAGCAAGAAAGGTTGCTCAAGGTCTGGCTGGCTCTGTCAAAGAAGCTGCGAGGCTGGGTTGGTAATTAAATTAAGTTTTGCCAAGTTTGCACATATAGACAATTAACTCTGCAACTTGACCACAGCATTCTGTACTGATTAGCGACATTTGTACCTCCAAGAAGGTAAAATGATGCTCATTAACTTAATTAGGAAGAATGTCTAGACCAAATTCTCAGTAAGAAATCAGTAAGTTAGCATCAGGAACAAGTATTTGGTCTGACTCCTCCTGTTCCCTCCTTCCTCCCTGCACAGACAGCTTCAAATTGGTTAGGGCAACAGCAACTGGATATCAACATGACGTTCCCTAATGAAAGTTGAGGCACATCTCACAGCTCCCTGCAGTGCATCACCCTGCAAACGCCCATCTCACCAGGGCAGTTCCAGGAGCATGGCAGAGGGAGCTGGGGGAGGCATGCACCTGGGCAGGTTGTAAGCAGCTGTGGAAGGGGTCAGGAGAGGAAAAAGGGGATCTCTCCATGAGGAGTTGTCCTAGTTTTAGCTGGGACAGAGTTTTTTAACAGCCAGAAGAGCTCTGTGTTTTGGTTTTACTCAGAAGCTCACTCTGAGAAGAATGTTGATAGCAAGCTGATGTTTGTGGTTGGAAGTGAAACTCCAAGGACTTTTCAGTGTGCCGGAGTGCGGGAACACGGTGGGACAAGGGGTACACAATTCCCCTTGTGATTTGTGGTGGAACTTAAGATTGAGGGCCAAACTGGCCAATTAGTATTCCATATCATGCAGCGTCATGCCCAGTATAAAAGTGAGGGTCAGCCGGGAAGAAGGGCTTTTGCGCTTTGGCTCTTTTGCACTTTTGCTCTTTTGCGCTTGCTGCGCTGTTGCTCTGCTGTTTTTCTTTCTTTCTCTCTCTCACTCTCTCTCTCTCTCTGCCCCTCTCTATTTCGGGGCCTCGTGTTTGTCCGGGATTGCAGCTTCGGGACGAGACGGGCTTCGCATACGAGGGGGTGGTGAGCACCTACACTGTATTAAATCATCTGTATTAAATCATTCTTATCTCAACCCACGGGTTTCCCGTTTATCCTTTAATTCTCTCCCTCATTCCTGGGGGTGGGGGAGGGGGAGTGACCGGCTGTGTGTGGGAGGCAGTTCAACCTAACCCACGACAGGAGTGGAACCCAGGAAAGCTTTCTGATGCCCTACAGGTGTCCACAGAGAGACTGTCACAGTGGGGATAGATCACTGGGAGTCCTCTGAGCTTTGTAAGATACAACTCTACATTTTTCAGGACTCCAGCACTGCACCTATGTGCAGTTTAGTGCAGGATTCTACCCCACAATCAGATTCAGCCAACGTAAATTGAAAGACACGGAGGCACCGGAGGGAAGGGGTGTGAAAAGGCAGCAGAGACTGAGCTGGGCACTAAGTGCCATTCTGGCCTTGTGTTTCAGTGGGACCTCGTGTGCGAGCAGCGCGGACTGAACCAGGCGACTGCAACCTTCTTCTTCATTGGTGTCACAATCGGGGCCGTGGTATTCGGATATCTTTCAGACAGGTTTGTCCCCTTTCAGGCTGTTCCTCCAGGGCTTCAGTTTCATGACAAGAACTTCACAAACCTGTGTCCCATGAAAGGCAATCAGAGGGGCAGAGAAAGGAGAAAATGCAATCGTAGAGGGAGAATCCAGCCTCTCACATGAAAATTGGATTAAAGTCATATTGGGAAGCAATGCAGGGGCTAAATGCTCCATGGATCAGCCAGTTAGCAGCCCACCAGAGAATCAGCCCTGGCCTTGAGTAGAAGTGAGATGCACTGCAATGGTGACCACAATGCTACGGTCAGCATTGCTGCAGGAATAGTAAAAACTTGAAAAATCCACTGCCTGTGAAATCAACTTCAGAAAAGACAACTGTCTAAAAAAGGAGAAAGCTAGTTAAAACAAACCCAGGGCAAGAGGCTAAAAGAGTTAACTCCTTGCGAGTTATATGGAAATTGGTTAAGGACAGCCAAGTGAGGGGCTCAGAGCAAATGCACGCCATAGCTGAGAAAAAGAGTCTCCACAAAGCAAAAACTGATTCTGCCATTACTAGAGAAGCAGAGTAAAGGGAGTTTTTATAAGCAGGGAGGCGTTCCTCAAGGAAGAGCTGAGGCAATGAGGAAAACAGGAATAAATCTGCTCTCGCTGGTTAAATATTAGAATGTGATAATGTAAACCCCCAAAAAATCAGAGTAATAACCTAGAAAGGGCATCAATTAAGAAATCAAACATTTTTGCGAGCAGCAGAATCAGGAAACCTACCAGAGAATCCATAATGCAATCAAGATGTGCTATTCACTGTAGGCTTTTCATTATTTAATGTCTGAGTTTCCTGCGCAGGAAACTGCTTCCCGATTTCCTTGCTCCGGGAACAAATACACGTTAGCGTACAGCAGGCTAAAAAATCACTGCATAGCAGAGGTGAATCACCTTCACAGTATGAAGCACCCAGAGACTGAATGCTGAAGATGGGAATTTTTCCATCCATATCTTTGCATATGTGTGGATCAGTATACTTTTACAAGGACCCAAGGCTGATCATCAAACTGCGTCTTGGCTTTGTATCTAAAATGGTTTTCTAGCACAGTTGAAGGGAAAGAAATTCAGAATCAGGAAAAGAAGCAGGACAAAACAAGGCAGAAGGGAGGGAAGGTCTCTGCTAGAGAAAAACGAAAAATAATTTGTTTTTCAAATAGACTGTGAGGGGGAAGAACCAGTAGAAGATCAAGGTGTAAAAGGAGCATCTGAAAATAAAAAGGCTGTAGCGTGAGACATAAATGTGTTTGGGCTCATCATGGGAGAATGTGTAGGGGCAGTTATTGGAGCTGGAGCTTTGAAATAAACTGATAGAAGAAGTCATGGAGAAATACAAGGTGAATGCCAGTAAGCTGTCAGAAGCAGGAAGTGGTCACCCTAGAGCCCGGCAGGAACTTTGGGATGAAAAAGGTGGAACACTGTTGGGATTGTGTGACCTCCACAGCAGAGGACTGGGAAGATATCACGTATCAAACCAGTTTTAAACTAGTCTCCAAAAAAGATCTCGGGAACTGCATGCCAGGCAGCCTAACATCTATCTTTACCAGGCAAATTAGCAGAACTGTTCTGAAAGATTGAGTCAGAGGCTGCATAAGTAGATATGACATAGTAGTGAAGAATCAGTGAAGTTTTTGCAAAAGATTCATGCCTTACAAACATACTGGATTTCTTTGAATGTGCTAACAGACATGTGAACAGAGGAGACACCATCTACTCAGATTTCAAGAAGTTTCCTTATCAAAGGCTCCTAAATAAACTGAGCTGCCCTAGGATAAGAAGGAAGGTCTCTGCATGACCAAGTAATTGATTAAAAGCCAGAAAGGAGATGTAAGTGTTCAGTCGTGACGACGGAGGGAGACCCGTGGGGACCTGCACTTGGATTTGTGTGCATTTATAAGTTATCTGGAAAAGGAGCAAGTGGGGAGGTAATGCTGAGTGACCAGGCTGGTAGAGATGAGGTCTGAGTGCAGGGAACTGCAGAAGGAACTTGAAAAGCTCTGTGACTGAATGGGAGCATCAGAAGACAAAAATTTCAGGGTAGATTAATACAAAATAAAGGAACATTCTAACTTCTCATTTAAAACAGAGGCCTCAGAGCTGCTCAGGAGCAGGATTTTGGGGTTATGACAGATAGTTCTAGGCAAACATCCACTCAGCAATAAGCAGCAGCTGGGGAAGCAAATGGAAAATTCAGAATCATTAGGAAAGGGATACAAAATTAAAGAGAATATCACTATGTAGTAAAATCTAAATGCACGGTGGCCTCACATCTTGAATACCATGCGCAGTTCTGATTTCCCTTCACCTTCCCTCCTCATCTCAAAAGGATACAGAAGAAGTGGAGAAACTTTGGAGAAACTAACAGAAAAGAACGAGTTATGGCTTGAATTCCAATCATACAGACCAGGACCCTTCAATCTGCTCACGTGGCAGCTAATGAGGGTTTGACAGCCCACTAAGCCCTTGTGAGCAGTGGCGGCAGCCCACGTAAATTTGCAGTGAATTTGGCAGATCTGTTAAAGCTCAGATGTCATGTCCCACATCTCCCGGAGCGAGTGGCTGCAGCTCCCTAAGTAC